ACACCAATGCCAACTGACTGTGCTTAGGACTCACATCACACACTGCATTATTTATAGCTTTCATGACCTAATGGTATTAATAAATGTTACACACTGTGTTGTTTGCAGCCGGTGAACGCTACAGCTAAGCTTGGACCAGCAAGTATAGGTCCAGTAAAACAAAAAGCTCCTACTAACAAGGCACATTGTAAGTTATGCATTTTTCTCTTCTCATACAATAATGTAAATCTTGAAAGATTCAAATTAAATCAATAAATATAATTTTGGATAGTGTAAATAACAAATAGATAATAACCAGGGTATTGCGTTCATCCATATTCTCTTGCTTATTGAGAATTTGTTTGAAATATTTTCGGAAGTACAACGATGTGAATTGGTCTTGATCAGCTTAATATATTCATAATTTCTTCAGCCGGTACTTATACCCATATATGTTCCAGTGGCTCTGGGTCCCTTGGAATTCTTGGAATTGCTTTGGTTTCTGATATTCACTCTAGTAGTGGATATAAGGTAGACTATTGATGAAAAGAGTGTGACTAGAACGAGATAAAGTTGTAAATTTTCATATTCTCAGCTTTCATCATCATTAAAATCATAACCGTAATTCAAATTCTCACAGGCAAAAAAGTAAATTGTCATAAATTTGTTGAAAAGATTTAAAATTCCACCATTTGTTTGACATAATTTGTGATAATTTATATGCTTGTCAATGAAGCAATGACAATTTTAATTCTATTCCATTAACGATGTGAATATAAAAATTATCACTAATCGGTGAGAATTATATCTAATCATGCCGAACTGTGAAAAAGTGTCAATTTCTCGCATAAGTTTCACACTTTTCATTGATAGTTATTGAAATAAAAGTTGAATCAAGTGCATTTCATCTGAAACTACTCTGTTTCAATTCATAGATCAGTTTCAACAATTCCTGGGTTATATTTTTTTACTAGTGTATATTTATATATATGGTGTTATAATGCATTTAAAATTTAAATTCAACAACAGTCACATGACAAAAAAAATAGGCAAATCAATTTTGTAAAGTTTGTCACTTTTTTCTTGTACAAAATAATACATTTTTTTTTTCTAAATATATATTGGTATTGTTTGAAAACTAGTGATTGTGTGTTTTTTTTCTTGTTTTATTTGTTTTCAGCTGATGCAAAAAAAGATAGTAAAGACATCTGGGATGTCGATGAAGTTGAAGAAGGTGCAGAATTTGAAGATTTGGATGATCCAAGACCACAGCCTGAGTACGTAGATACTAATAAATCTAGCATGAAAAACAAGTTGCACATCAGTAACACAAACCATTATTTGTGTTTTCAGTTTTTCAAAAATATGAAGAAAAAAACACTCTGACAAGATTATATAGTCATCGCAAATAAAGACTGTTAAATAAATTTTCGCTGAAAAGACATTTTAGGTGTTTTGTATGAAGTTTATTTGAATAGTTGAATGTAAAACATAGAAAAAAATGGTATTTTAACTGGATTTTATTTTCAATGATTCATCCCTTTGGAAAAAATAGCGTCAATTAATTCTTAGTAAAAATAAAGTAGTTTACAGTAGATGACACAATTTGTTGAATAGTTAATGTCATGTGTGATTTACTGTCCCTGAACAACCTTTTGAAATTTATTTGCAAATGTTTTGGGAGCCCTTATGTACACAATTAGTCATTGGGCTATGGAACTTCATTATATTTTGCCTGTCAGTCACCCTAGGGTAATGATTTTGAATTACAATCAATGTATACAGATTCACAATGATTCACTTCTAGAACTAATTTACTGTAATGAACACCAGTCATCATATTTCCAGCTACGCTACGCTATCAATTACGTCACGTAATGGTCAACACTTCTTTAATCCTAATTTAACGTGTTATTGTTTTTTTATTATCAGATATGATATTGTGTATAAACAAGCTATCACAACAGAAGACATGTTTCTACAGATGGGAAATAAAAATCCCACTACATCATCATGTGAAGATATGGTGGTAAGTCTGTGTATTAATTCAGTGGTCACGATGGGACCAAGAGTGTTGTTACAAAGAGATGATGTCACCTGATGCAGCATTCTGTACTCATGTATAAATTCAATTTGTATAATTTGATGCAACCCTAATATGCAATCAAACGTCTATTCACATTAAAATTTGTAAAAACCTTGCTTTTATAACTTAATATTCTGCATATCGATAAATTATGCCATATTTGCAATATTTCTATTAGGAGTGCGTTTCCAATAAAATTGCACATAAACCTAAAACTGCATTTCTGTGTTAGATTATAAAAGTATTTAATAATTTTCCCATAGACTCATCTCTACATACACTACTATGTAGAGTATTTATTACTCAATTGTATAAGTATAGAAAATTGTATAAGTATAGAAAAGAAAGTTTGAATTTAATGTGATTTTTCTTCTTTCCTTTTTCAAATATGTATGATTTGGTTGTTTTCTTCTCTTTGTTTGCCGCTCCAAAGGCTAATAAAATATTATTATTATTATACTAATAGAGCTAATAATGTGTGTATGTTTAAA